TTGGTAACTTATTAAAATGATGATGAACCTTTATAGAAGCAATCAGTAAATTCAATCTAGAATGCTACTAAGAATATAAATGTGAAAGTTTGTAAACATTATTGGATGTTAAAAAGTTGATTACATTGTTTACATATTTGTTACAAAATCACGCTCAAACGGCTGAGCGATAATGGATGAAATTTGGTAAACGGATAGGTTACATGGTAACTTAATACAGAATACTTTATATACTGATTCACTTTGGCAAAGTCGCGTGAAAATAACTAGTAAAAAAGCTAATATAAACAAAATGCAGTTGAAATGAGATCTGCCTCGATTTTTAAATTGGTTGGTATGGTTTGGTATTTACCAAAGGGATATTTCCAACCACTTTATTTTCTACATAGTACTTTTACTATGTAAAGAATATCAGAGACCACACTTATATGATATATTAAATAAATAATTTAAGTATGTTAAAATTTACATGTTTAATACCTACGTTTCGTTTCAATGCAAATTTTTTTCCTACTAAGTGATAAATATTCAATATGTATACGAGTATTTATGAATTATTATTATTTTTTTTCACTTTCTTTTAATTTGCGGTCGAGATTAGTGCGTAGATATTCTGTTATCTACTAAGTTGGATTTATTTTATTAAAAATAAAACATTTGTTTCACGGTATATTAACTTTTAACTCCAAAAAATCTAGATTTATTTTGTCTTTAAAAGTATCTATAACTGTAGAAAAATATATAATATTGTTCAATAGTAACTAGGGGTGGGTAATATAAATCAATGACTATATATTGTAGTTACAATATCTATATATTGGCCCAATAACAAATATATTAAATATCGGTTGTCTAATATATAGTATAAAAAAAAAATTTAGTCGAAATGAATATAGATAATATTGTTGTAATAATATTGTCGACATCTAAATGAGTGATTACCTTTTTTCCGTCATCAATGTCCCTAATATATACATATCAGAGCGATACTAATGTTACTTATGTCTAACTTGTATTGAAACCTATTATAAGCAAATGTGATGAATGAAAGTATGTAAAAACATTTGGGTGATTTTCAGATAGAGCGACCTCTTTCCAACTTTGGCGAACCTTTTTTGCATTCAACTTCGACTTCCTAGAGAAGCTGATGTTCATCAAATATAAAAGAAAACATTTTATAAAATCATTTCTGGGGATATCAAATTACGTTATGACTGGAATCCAAAAAAGTTTATATTAACTCGAATCAAATTAAATATTATTCTAGCTTAAGACATTTTATCTGTTTATACGAGCAAAGTTGTTTAATACAAGTTATATACTAATATTTTCCAAAACTATGTAAAACGAAACTCGAGTTTTTTACGTGTCATTTCAACCTATATGCATATATTCACGATGTGTGAGTAAACATCGATTTCTATAATTCGGTTCGGTTATTAACTTAGACGTGTCTACTATTAAAATATAAATTGGTACATTTGCATTTTATTTAAAAGCATCTTCTTACAATTGTGTATATTACCGTGACAATAAAATCATGCCATGTCATGCCATGCTACGGTAAATTAACAAAAGCATCCTATAACTAACATACAAACTAATTTTTTTTAAGAAATCGTTGATGAATATTTATTGCGATTTAATTCTTCAATTCAAAACGTAATAAATTAATGTGGAACCAATAGGAAAGTAAACTCTTGTAATAAAAAAAGAATTACTAAAATTGGTTCAAAATTAGCAAAAGTATCTCGTAATACATATATACAAAAAATACATAATAATAAAAATGAAATTAAATTCACATTTTTAAGATTCTTTAAAAGTATTAAATGTATAGACCTATAAACAAAATTTGGTATTTTACCGTGAGAATATAGTATAAGTATGTATGAGATATTTATACATATTAAATTTGTATAAAACTTTAATGAAAAAATATTATAGCTAATCGATATTATTAAAATTTGCTTAAGCATTTATTATATTAAATTTGTATAATACTGTAATTAATTTTGTGCTCACGTATAACTTAATAATATCCGTTTACTATAATAAATTCTGAACGTAAACTCTCTTACCATACTCTCTTTAAAAGAGAGATAATTAAATCAATAATAATAAGTTCATCATTATAATTCTGCATTAATTGATCCATTATGTAATGAAGATTCCAGTTAAGATAATTGCAAAAAAAAAAAACAAACCGAACGTAATCAATAGGTTAGAACAATGTGCAACATAAAAACGTAAAATGTTGCTTACAGTGAAAAACAATGTTATCCCCTTTCTCAGGGCAAGTCAATTATAAATCATCGACCTAACGTGACTTTTGAGAATTTCAACTAATATCATCGTGAATATAACTTAATTATTAATCACTTAAATAACTTTTTATGATAATTAATATAAAAGAACAATATATAATTAGAGATAATTACGCAATACGGAGATTACAAACAACACTTTCATATTTGGTATGAAAACAAATATAGAAAAGATTAAATTTCAACGATATGTACACAATATAACTATATATTTAGTTTAAAATAAATATTATAGTCTTAGAAATAATAAACAATATCAACTAGTCTCAAATTGAGATTCTTCATTAATTTTGCGTTAAAAATTCTACCAGTTAACCTATCGAATAGAAACCGAACAAGTGCATTTCTTATCATCTATTGGGGATGGAGTAAGAACAAGTGCACTGTATCACCACTCCTTTTTGTCTCTCAAGGATGTGGTAAGAGATACCTTGATATTTTCTATAACCTAGGGAGCAAACGAGGTAATTCACCTGATGGTAAGTGATTACCACACATAGGCGCCCGCTATATCAGAGATATTGCAGGTAAACAAAGTAGTATATATCAGTGCCACAAGCTAAAACTCTTAAGTCTATACCAAGCCACCAATCCAGCACAGAAATAATACCAAATTTAATTGTATACTAAGCAATAGTATATATCTCTTACCGATTTAAGCCTACACTCAGCTACCCAAGGCGAAAGGGATTATTAATAATTGGGATCTTTTCAGCCGCTAACTGTCCATTGTCGAACATAGGCCTCCCCTATTAAAAGGTTTGGCAATAGCTGCCACTTTTGGCAGGCAGGATGTCAAATGTAATTAGACTTTTGATGACGTTTAAAGAGGAGCGCTGCTGGCCATCCCGCAACCATTAAGTTCCCTTAGTTGCCTTAGACAATTAAGTTATTAATTCTCATTAATAGCAATATTCTCTCATAGATCTATTACCATGCGGAACTCCCTGAAAACCATAGTAATTAATTTCTAGTGAATCTGCCATGATGGACCAACTGTCCTTCCTTCATCTTTATTGTTCCATACTCTACTGGTGCCTTGCCATTAGATACCGTTAGCATAGGCGGATGCACCATTTTATCATCATCCATTAAAAAAACTGCCAGCTTCCTAACAGTAGAACATTAATTTTTAAGTATTTATATATACACATGAAAAGAAATGGCATCTGGAAAACCTCATGAAAACTGAAGGTTTCTTGCGGGTAAGGACGTAGGAAATAGCTAGTGTAAAATTAAGAAGTTTCTGACAATTAACACCTTCAATCCGGTCGTGCATTTAATAATAATAAATAATGCTTTCATAATTAGCAACTACATAAAAGTAGCAAATACATACTAACAAGCTTCCATGTACATAAAATTCTTGAATTTACTGACAAAGGGTTATAATTTAGCGGCAATATAGTTATTACTATATGAATCATTTTCTTGAAGACAGCACTCTACCAAGAAATTTAACTCAGAAAAGAAATTTAACATTTTAACCGATTTCAAAAATAAGGAAATTTTTAAATCTAACTTGATTATTTTGAAATTTTTTCATCATTTTGTAACATTTTTACTCCATACTTAAATATTGTATCCGTAATCAATTTAGGTAGTTATTATTTGCATTATTCAATTTAAATTTGTTTGGAATAATATAATGTCTCGATTTCATGACGTCTGTAAATCCATTTTTTTATACCACTACATTAAAGGTGGCAAACAAGCTTACAGCCCGTTTAATGGTAAACGGTCACTGTAGCCATTATCTATATTCTAATTATTATTTCAGCCGTTAACTGTCTACTGCTGGACATAAACCTTCCCTATAAGGGGAGTTTTGCCAGTAGTTGCCACGCTTGGCAGGCGAGTTTGCAACCGTAGTTAAGGTTTTAGAGATGTTTTAAGGGTGACGCTGCTGCCCATCTCTCGCCCTATATTCTAATATGTTATTATAATTAATTAATCAAGAATCCTAACTGATGTACCTTTCATTAATAGATAAATAAATAAATATTTTTTTGTAAAAAAAATTGGTTCCAAATTTAATAGGTATTTGTAGTAATATTAATAACTACTTAAAATGTACTTATGTAAAGTAATATACGTAACATTTGACAAATAAACTTTATTTTCCAATTATTAACAAAAAACTATGACTATTGTTTATGTAGGAATTATTAGATATATTCCACGGATTTGCCTACGTGAATCAGTATTTATGATTCTATATATTAATTAGAATATAACCTACTTATATAATAAATTTCATTCAAATTCATTCGGTCATTTAAACGTGACTGCATAATAAACATCCGAACATCTTTTCAAACTTTCAAATTTATAATATTGTTTTATGATAGGATTATCGAAAATTTAAAATATATTATAATTTATAATTATCAATAAGCACAAATTTAAATATTTTTTATTGATGAACATTAATAAAATAACTAATGAACACTTTTGCAATTCAATATTCTTGTAATTACTATTGTAATAATTAAAAATGTATCAACTGTTAATTTTAAACTTTCACCTTGTTTACACATATTTTAAAAACACTATCAGAACTAATTTATCTATAATTTTTTCAGCGCATTAAATCCCGATAGCGTATTTAAAATAAATGTACCAATTGTTAAGTATTTCTAAATTATATTAATAAAAACACAAAACACTTACCTATTAGTTATTAATTGTCTTTATTATAATTCCGTAATAATTCTCCAATCAAAAACAAAATTCCATATGCACAATTTAAAGAACACTGATAAAAAAATCAAAACACCACTACAGCTGTTTAATCCAAGGTCGTCAGCGTTAATTTTCCCGCGCGATTCCCTAAAGATTGTCTATGGTGTGTTGTGTCTGAGAGACGGTCAAACAACAAGTGTAGCGCGCGCTCGCCATTCCGCATAGAAGCACGACCCTAGCGTCATATTGCTCGATTCCGGAACGTTTCGACCACAAACCAGAAACAGGGTCAGTAGTGCCATATTAAAAAAATTAACATAATTTATGTCAGCTATCAGCAACTATATCGAAAATGGGTGAAATGGTAGAGGTATTTATTTAATGCATTTTATATTATCGGAACCGGCTCATGATTATTTATCTGCTACTTTCTAAGTTCACGTTTTTTACTTATAATTATTATTATAAGGTACTAGCAAATGTCTATTGTAATTTTAACTTACAAGTTGATTGGGTATTAATTTTTTCTGAATCGTGGATGTACATCATAGCATGATATTACCAACGAAAGTAAATTAAGCGTCTTACTAAAATTGCGTTTACGTTTTGCCTTCCTATTAAATAAATGATAACGATAAAGTCGTGTTGTACGGTACGGTACGTTATAAACTATGCCTCTAACTCTTTAAAGTGCTTTAACGCGCTATAAATGTTGAATGTAAATATTTTTTTGAACAAGTTACAATACAAATTTATAAAATTAAGAAGCCTAACAGTAAAGTAGCAGCATAATGAGTCACTAGTAAATCTTACACCTATGTAACATGTAACAATTACAAAGTGTAAGTTATATGGTAATAGAAGACTTTATACACCCTCTATAAAGTGTAAAATTGCGAATAAGTGCACAATAATTTAAATGAGCATATATGATAATAAATTAATAAAATCCTAAACAACACACGTAAGTAATATATGTGAATACTTTTCAGTAGAATGTATGTATACAAATTTTATGCTTAATTACTTATTATGCAATTTCAAGAGTTTCAACATACTTAGTTAATTTTGTTTTATAAAAATAGCTACTTCAATTATGACAAAATAAATTTATCAACTAAATGTGATTAAACGGATGTAAAAAGAATTATCTAAATCGTTTTCGAGTCGGAGAAAATATCGGGTGATTTACGAGAAATATACATTCGAAGTTACCGATTCTCTCTTTTGGGAAGTGGTTGGCCCCGTTGCTTGGTTTCTGAAAACACAGGATATCCTAGTTTGAGTACCAGACAATTTTTGTGACAGTGTGTGGTACTTAAAATTAAAAAATAATTGAAAAATTTAAAGCATTTGTCGACTGTTATCTTTCCACTCATTCTCTACTTAATTGTCTTAATATTCAGAGATCAGTTAGTAATAAAAAAAAACATATTTATCGACTATCGTATCTACTCACAATCAAACTAGTGATGATCATGATTAATTTTATTAATCGAATGGGCAATTCATCATGTTTGAGAAAATATAAAGAGGGAAAGTGATGTAGATAATTATTAAAGAAGGTTATTAGATGCGGAGGTCGAAAAAGAAAAGTCGAATCTAATATACCAAAGAACGTAAAACGGGCTTTCCATCTGAAATGTAGCACAATGTAAATTAGAAAATTTTAAACTATTAGGTGCCTATCAAAAATGCCTATTTTGTATAATAAAACTGGAATTTTAATAGCTGAATACATAAATCCTAACTTTTCTTTTTTTCCATGCAATTTAAAACGTCAAACACGCTTTTGGCCTGCCTGATGGATGGTCGTAACCGTTGCTTATGATACTCATGCGTTGTTTTTTTTTTCAGGAAAATTATTTATTATTTAACACTTAAACTATATTGAGCCTACCTATGCATATTCATTTAGAATCCATGGGGAAACAATTAATGAGTGGCGATCCCGTACGGGCAAACGCATTGTTAGACTAAACTAGATGGAGAGACGACCTCAATTGCATTGCAGGGAGTCAGTGGATGCAGGTGACACAGAACCGTTCCCCATGGCTGTCTATAGGAGAGGCCTACGTTCAGCAATGGACAAATAATGAGATGATGTTGATACATATTCATTTATTAAACTGAAATAATTTACAGTATACCGTGTGTGTCCCGGCATAGAATGGGCCACCTTTTCTTTTCCCGTGGATGTCGTAAGAGGCGACTAAGGAGGGCGAGGTATGAGCAGCAGTGTCTCACTTAAAACATCTCTAAAAGCCTAACTGCAGTTGCCAACCCGCCTGCCAAGCATGGTAACTACTGACTAAACTCCGCTAATAGGGAAGGCTTATGGCCACCAGTGGACAGTTAATAGCTGAAATAATAATAATAAAAAAAAAATTACTGTAAGTTATTTAACCGATTGCAAAAAGAAGGAGGTACTCAATTCAATTGTATTTTTATCTTTTTTTATATTTGTTACTTCATAACTCTGTCAATTCTAAACAGAATTGGAAATTTTTTTTTCTATCTGAAAGGATACTTACAGATTGGTTCCATAGAGATTTTATCAAAATCTACTCAATAATTTAGTTTTTAAATCACAATAACTGGTTTTGTCACAATTAAAGTCGGCTTTTTTCGACACAATCTTTAATTATTTTACTATTAATAACTAAGTCAAGTTTCAAAAAATGTAGTACTAATTGCAAAAAATCATTAGGTATTACAAAACATCTTCGGCAAATATTGCTTTCTATATATGTAGATCTTATACCAAATTTGATATTTATTAACTCATCGAATGGCCTATTCGATGTGCAACTGTAAGGCCTTGTACCGATAAATGCTAAATGTCATGATACTGAAAGTACATAGTGGATAACCTATAGTAAATTAACCTGCAAATCTAGATCATTGATGGTTTAGTACTGATTTCAGAGCATATAATACGTAGCGTGGGAACTAACACAGTACTTGTGCTTGTTTGATAGGTATTGCATTGCATGCGATTGCAATTGACTTCAAAATTATGTATTTTTGCTAATTCAAAATTAATTTTGATGATAGAAATTATCACATTGATGACCTCCATGGCGCAATGGTAAACCTAACTAAGTGGTAGTATAACAAACTAATTTATCAGTGCGACGTTGAATTCAAATAAAAAAGAAACAAGTTTGGGGAAATATGGTTAATGTAAATAGTTGCTGATTTACTTATTTACTATCCCATTTAGAATTGCAGTTGTGTGTGATATTTTTTTTTTTTTTATTTATACCCACGGTATGATGAATTTGTAAGTCGATATTGAGCAAATCACACTTTCACTATATGAAACATTTTATTAACAAAACTCTCTATTGCCCGTAGATCACGATCTCTAATTATAAATTTGTTAACTGCCGTATGTTATTAAAGTATTATTTAAAACATTTACGCCCATGTAAATAACAATAAATTATAGTTGTCTAAACTTTTTTCTTGCCGGTGGGAGCTGCCTATCCACCTACAGTGTGCGAATATGCATTATATATACCTACATATTACCTTTAATATGACTAGAGAGGGGCGGAATGAATCTATTAATAATGCAGTCTATATTACCAGCTAGAAATATACCAGGTCTAATCAACCCCCACGTGGTTCCCCTAGAAACAATAGTGCTGAATACTAGATGTGCTTTTCATTCTCACCTATCATCCCTCACTGGGGTCTTGGCAGCATATACCGTTAGTGCAGGCGGGGTTACGATTCCATTATCATCCATTAAAAAAACATTACTAGCATTAAATATGTATCTATTTGTAGTATCGACTCTTAGAGAACTAGTATATTTGGCAGATTCTTTTCGTTTTCCTAGTCTAGTTAAGTACTCTAGGTTTAGATCATGGACTTAGCTGAGATTATTGCAAGAAATCTTTGTGAATTTATTTCCCTTAAAACTCCTGCATACAATGACTCCCTTTTCCTTGAAATATCTGAATAAAAATATGACTGATTCTCGTTTTATCCCATGGAGTCGCCTTGTACTACACTAGCTTTGCACCTTGGGTTCGTGTATTCTTGGTGTTTGTTTGTGTTTTTGAATATCTGTAGTTTTGGTTGTGTGTTGACAGTCAGTCAGGATAAAGGATTTAAGACGTTTAGAATTAATTATACTTGCATGTAAAGTTTAATCAATCTATATCTATTTCAAGTACAGTCATAGTTATCTATCTATGCCTAAATATATTGTTGTTGCCAACCCGCCCACCAGACACCACAAACATTAAAAATACCCCTACTATCAGACAATAGTACAGATTAGTAATCAAAAACTCGATAATCTATTTTCAACATCGCATATGCATCATAATCAAATTTATCAACGTATATATTGTTCAGAACTATTTTTTTTTATATTTTTGATTTTTATATTATCTCTTTAGCTTTATTACTTTGTTTCTCTTTTTATCATTTTTTATTATGCAGTAAAGATTTTAAATATCTGCCGATTTTTCATTTCCGTATACGAATCATAACAATACGATTCGTTCCGTATAATCCGCCAGACGCCATCTACTGCGCGAAATAGCTATTCAAGTACCTATTTAATATAAAATCAATTAGGTAACCAACACAAACATTTAAAATCGTCAATTCTTTATAAAATAACTTTTTGCTAATACATCTTAAATTTCCGTAACATTATCCACGTACATAAGTCACGAGGCAATACATTATTCGGACCTCACAAGTTACTGTATATCTAATAAGCTTGTAAAAGCATGTAATGTCTATACAATCACTTAGGCAATGTGTAAATGATATGCAACTTTATGGCGATAACTTAGAGCCAGACTCCCATTACCCATTAGGTAGCTCTATGGGAGCCTAGCACATTATTCAACAGTCTCTTAGGGTACTGCAAATAATAATATATAATTAGGTACATATAACTTACACTGTGTATTGAAGAAGTATGTATATAAAATGTTGCCACTTCTTTTTATTTCTACGATGCAGTACACTAGTGGAAAGAAATAAAAACTTGATATTAAAACCTTTTATTGAACCCTGGTTGACATGTCAAACATATTATCGTACAAATAATATCATCTTTAGTTATATTATAAATATAAACTGAGTTTGTTTGTTTGTTAATTTATAGCACCATAATGGCTTAATCAATAACTATGAAATTGGGTA